TTGTTGGTGTGGAAACCTCACAGGAGAATTTTTTGATGTGTGTTTTTAAAAGCTCAACCTTAACCTGTTATTTATGTAATAACAAAGATTCTTTAAAAGGAGGAAAGACAAACATAACTTTAAAATGTGAGAAGAGTTACACGTGAAAAGCACAAACATATCAAGGAAAAATTCTGTTCCTGGCTAAATTTCTAAGACGGTAGAGGTAAACCTTCTTTTGCACAAATTTATCTTTAATTTAATGCAATTCAATTAAAAAAGCATTGATTCTTGAAAATTATATAAGGCAAAGTTCTGCAAATTAAATTGTAGTTTAAATGCACTAGAAAAATTAACTATTTAAGGGAATTCTTTGAGGTAAATCTTTCTACATAATCACCCCACAATTTATCTTTGCAACTCAGATCTTCACATACAGGTAAACCATTTTTTTTCTACTTTGTTGCATACGCGTTTATAGTTAAAATACTTTCTTTAAATGTTATTTTCCCCAATAACACTACACCACTACAATATTCATTAACACTTTAAAATCTTTGAGGACATTTGGCTTAAATGGAATTTTCCCTATGAATAGCACTTTTGCAACACTTAACACTTTAAAGTCTTTAAGGACTTCATAGACTCCAAGGCTCTCCAAAACCACTCATTTTATAAATAGAGAAGCAGAGGCAAAAAAGCTGTTATGCCGGAGGCTTGTCTTCCTTGGAAGGGAGGACCAGTAACAGTAAAGTATTAATGAGATGCTGCATAAGTTTTCCAACAGCGGGTGATGACGTTTTCTTGGTGGGCGCGGGGATGCCCTAATACTTGGCGGGGGATGGGGTGGGGTGCTACAGTAATACAGAGTGTGGAGCAAAATCCTGCAAGGGGCGGCGAGGGTGGGATTAGAAACTTTGATTTGTCCAGGAGTGGGGAGACCAGTGGGAGAGGTGTCGTCTATAAGAACGTCGAGGGTGGGGAGAGGGGGGGAGCAGTGGAGCAGTTCCTCTAACTAAGCATCATAATGCAGGACACTAGGAAAGACAGGGGCAAGCAGATTTTCCCCTAGTCCACCTAAAGGTGGGAGCTCTCCTGAGGCGAGAGGGTGGGGTGGAAGGAAGGGTCTTCAGGACGTGGGCGCGCCCGCGCGCAGTCCTCCACCCCAAGACCCGGAGCGCGGGTGCACGACGACAGGGAGGGCGGCCCCCCGGCTCCCCGCGCCTCCTCCCACGCGCTGCCGCCCCCTAGGCTCCCCCTCCCCCCCGCCTCGGCGCGGCTCCCCTACTCTCTGGACGCAGACAGCCCGAGCGGCGGAGCAGCTGCTCCCGCAGCAGCCGCCTGACCCCTCCCCGGGCCCGCCCCCCTCCCTCTTTCACTTTCCCGTCGGCGTCGGGGTGCGCGTGTGTGCGAGTGTAAATGTGTGCCGGCACGAGTGCGCGCAGCGCGGGCTCTGGAGTCTGGCCGCGCGCGCCTCCCGGGCAGGTTTGGGGGAGGGGGAGCCCCGGGAGCTCGCCCACTGGGGCTCAGTCAGCGGAGCCGCCGCCGCTGGCGGAAGAGCCGCGGTCCGGAGCTGGGGCACCGGCTGCAGAAGCCGAGTGAGTCCAAGACACACACGCACATTCGCAAACTCACCTCCCCTCTTCCCTCCTTCTCCCCCCGCCCCTTCGTGGGAGTAAGGGAGGGGAGACAGCCTTGAGGGGAGAGGGGGAAGGGGTAAACCCAAGACGGTAGGAGGCGAGCAGGAGGGGTGGAGGAGGTGGAGGAAAAGAAACTTTTCCCTTCCTTCCTCTTCTCTCCTCCCCCTCCCCCTCCTCCCTGACCGTGGTCTTGTGGTCCCCAGCCTTCTCCTCCCTCCGCAGGCAGGTGCGAAGTGCACCTGAAGAAGCATCCGGGGCAAGCGCCCGGGGACTGGCCCCGAGTTTTCATTCTGTCATTATTATTCTTGGGAGTGGGGTGTGCGTGTTGCCTTTGGGGTGTTTTCTCCCCTCTCCTGAGACCTGGCGGGCGCTGCTGTAGGTCCCTGTCTTCCTCCATCCTTCCTCTCTTCCCCTGTCCCCGCTCCTGTCTGCGTGTCTCTCTGGTACCCTGGTAGCCCTCCCCAAGCCTCTGCCCGTCCCCACCGGTGAGGGTGTGACGGAGGAGTGGGGGCGGGAGGAGTACTCCCAGTACCCCCACCCCCACCCCCGCGCTCGCGCGCGCGCGCACACAAGCACACACACACACACACACACACACACACCCCTTCGGTAGAGCTGTCACCAGTCCCCTAGAGGGGGCGGGGGGGAGGGGTAAGGAGAGGGAGCCAAAGCTGAACTGGAGGGAGGGAGAGAAACAGAGAAGGAAAAGGAGAGAGGGATCATCCGGCTGGACTTCCCTGCCTCCTATCTATCTCTGCACCTACTCTCCCTACCGGCAGCAGCAGCATCAAACAGCCTTCAGGAAAGGGAAGGGGGGGGATTGTGTGTGTGTTGTGTGTGTATTGTGTGTGTTTATGTGTAAAGCGGGGGGGGGGGCGGCGGTAGAGCCTGGAGGAGCCGCCGTCGCGGCCGCTGTTGGGGGTGCGCATGTTATGTGAGTGTGTGTGTGTGTAGAAGGGTTGTAACCCTTTCTACCAGGATTTAACGCTGTCGCCTTCTCCTGCGTTTTAACAACATTATTACTATAACCACCGTCATTACAGTTATTGTTGTTATTATCATCATCCCCATCCTTGTCACCATTTTACTATTATTGGACTTGTTGGCGGCGGCAGCGGCAGCAGGAGTCTCGGCGGCTCCTCCACAACCACCTCACCATGTCCTAGAAAAGGTGAGTGCAGGGAAAATCACTTTGTACAGACAGCGGTGCTGGCAGCGGCGGCCAGAGACCATTTCTTTGCGGAAAAGCAGCAGCCAGCGGAGCGAGCTGTACAGAGTAGTTTTGGGGCAAGGGGCTGCGGGTGGAGAGGTAAAGGGAAAGTAAGCGAAGGTAGAGGGTAATGGGAGATGTGAGGCTATTACGGGGTTCAGAGGCGAGGGAGCTGGAGTATTATGTTGGATGGTGGTAATGGGGGTGGGTGGAAGGCGTTACTGCTCCTATAGAGTTTTAACCCAGGTCTTTGCAAAAAAACCAAGATCTAGATCAAGATCAGCCTTCCCCTCAAATGAGCTAAAAACTTAGTAAAAGAGACACGTCCATTTCTTTAAATAATAAATAACTCAGCAGACGGCTGCTCCCCCGCTGTCTCCTCTCCTCTCCCAATCGGGTAGCTCGGTCTGGGATCCTCTCTCGCTCCTTAGCTATAGAATGCCCGCTAAGTCTGAGAGTGCGGATCAATGTTTGACCAGTTATTAAATCGAGAAAGTAGGCGTGACGGCGAGCCCTGCGGCGAAAGTTGTTCCTCGGGTGCTGAAGTCTCTGGGACTCTAGACTGCAAGGAATGGAGTTGTAGTTTGTTGTCTGGGACATTTGTGTGTGAAAGTAGGGAGCAGCAAGCAAATGGATTCGCTGCCCGGACTTCCCGCTTGGGAAGGGTTTGTGCATGGAATTTAACCGACCCTCGGTGGATTTGAGGCAGCAGGGTAGGTGTTCTGGCCTGGGTTCCCAAATGGTAAAGACAAGACAGGAGGAGTTGTGAGTGAGGGGTGCTTCAAGCTATGTCTTTGGCGGGTGAGGAGGTGAGGCGGGGGAGGGGAATTATTGCACACAGCTGCTGCTGCTGCTGCTGTCCTCGGGGCTCTAAGTCTAGGAGGCTTGGGGGGTGGAGGGACTAGATTTAGGTGTGTACGTCACTGCTGCAGACTTGGAGCCAAAGCTTTGTACGGGTGTATACGTTGTGCATAAAAAGTCCTTAGAAATCCAAGTTATGGAGTCGTATCATTTGCTTAGTAACTGTAGAGTTTGGGTGGGTGGGAGGAGATAGCTGAGCTGAGGTGGGGGGGATGCCAAAGGGAAACGGAAATCTTATTGCAGACACTTTTTAGTTTAATAGTTTTGTTCCTTCTCCTCTACTCATTTATTTTTCCCAATTGTCTCCTAACACAGTTTTAAAGAAGTGAAAATCCTCGATGGTAAATTAGGCCTGGCAGAAACCCCAAAGCTAAACTAGTAGGAAAAAATATGTATATTTGCCATATATATGATATATGGCAGAACAGCTCCAGTCCTTGACCCTTGTGCGTTTTGGGGGGGGGGGGAGGATGTATTTAAAGGATTTTACTGCATTGACAACCTTCTGCTGCTCCCAAATGGTTCAGGCAAGGAAAAACTAATGGGAAAATAATCATCTAGCGCTTAAACATCCGTGGTGGCGGCGGCTTCTCTGCTGAGAAATAACTGAAAAACCGAGGGAAGGCGGCGAAGGGAAGCAGCTTTGCTGTCCATTAAAGCCCACTACACTCTCCTCCATAATACTTAGGGAAGGCCAGTGGCATTGATAGCTGCTGCTCACCTGGTGCTGCAGGTAGAGCGCGTGAGGAAACACCCAGATTACCAATTCTGTGAAAGGACCCCGACCCTTTTAACTTCTCCCCCCGCCTCTTCCTCTTCCAAATCAATGGCAGGCTTATTAAGGAAGAGGGAAGAGTTAGTTTGAATGCAATGCATTCGGACGAGAAGCAATAAGCAACTGGGAGAAGAGTAGATGATATGCATGCATCAGTGTCGTAGTCTTTGGTTTCCAGCGCTCTTGCCCCTTCTGTGGCTTTAAGGGGGAGCCACATATTCCAAGCTGTGTCGCAGCAACTTTGTATCAGTCATGTCGCCCGCCTAGTGACTGACAATCCTGTTTCTCCAATGAGAAGCTTGCCTGCTCGGGGTAGCGTGGCTCTTTACTTTTCTCTGGGCCAATGGGAAAGGCTTTGAGAGGCGGGAGCTCAATCTGAACTTTATATCTGGACATGTGACCTGCTTTTAAAAGGATCGGCCCTCTCGCTCCCCCCACCTTCTCCTCCCTCCCATCTCCCCTCCCACTCGTTGGTAGCCCTGGCCCTGCCCCCCTGCCTCTCTCTCTCTCTCCGCGCCCCGGGTGTCATTGGGCTAGAGAGATAGAGCCTTCAGGCTCTGCAGAGGAAACCCGTGTAGTCACCTGGGCGAGCATTGCTGTTTCATGTTCTCTCCGTGCAAGGAGAGCGGCACTTGCCCGCTTAAATGTGGTTGGACTTAGGGGGGCTGCGCAACAGCGGCGACCCGCTCGTGGTAGAGGAGGTGGACGTAGCAACAGGTAGAAGAGACTGAGACCCCTGCGCAGGAAAGAGGCAGGTGTGTAAGGACTGCAGTGGTCCTGCCGTTGCTGCTCCGCGTTGCGTGGTGTTCACTTTGAGAAGGGAGAAGGAGCTGCGTAATCCGGAGGCACAGTCAGTATGGTGTGTGTGTGTATATGTATGCGTGTGTGTGTTTGTGTTTTGGTTTTCCACTTTGTATTCTTTGGCCACCAGAGGACTATTTTTTGGGAAAAAAAGTTTTGGCCGCTTTTGCTAAATGCCCTGAGCAGACAGCTTTTAGATGCCTTTGGCCACTGAAGTTCGACCATCTTTCTCCGCTGTTCCTCCCAAAGATTGATTTCTTGATTTTTATTTTTGTCATTTAAACCTTTTAGACAGCAATTGAGGAAGCTCGGAGATCACATGGGAAAGTAAGCCAAGGGCAGGTTAAATAGACTACGTTACTCCGGATAAGAGGACTGTTGTAAATATTCATACTGTACCCTGTCTCAGTAGTTAACTCTTCAGATATAGATGTTACTCTCTCTGTTGCACCAAATTGTTATCTTGAGGTAAAGAACAAGGGAATACCTTTAAATACATCAGCTTTTAAATGTTTTTTATATTGACTTCTAATTGTTATTATAGATATTTACATTGAAAGAGATATTTTTACTAAAAATGAACATCATAGCATGTAATGAAAGCTGCTTGAGAAAATTACTGTTTTACAAGGAGAGGAATTTGGTTTTTCCTTTAAGGAGAAAACTTTTTTTTTTTTTTTGGGAGGCTAGGTGGCTCAATGAAATAAGCCGGAAAATAGTTATCAGGTCTGCTCAGTTCTAGCTGGTTTCACCACAGGCTTACTTGGATGACCTTGGACTAGTACCTGTTACTTATCTTGTCTATAAAAGATCAGAAAAGAACGCTGAACTATTATAAAAATGATGAAAGAATAGTAAGTGAATTTTACAACTATTATATATTGTGATCAATAAATTCTGAGGAGCTTAACTGAAAATTAAAGATAATAGTATATTACTTATATGTGTTTAGACTATGATGAGTGAAAACAATTTTGAGATGAATGTAGATGGGTAAGATGTTTTAAGTAAACTCCTACTTAATAGGGAACAGGAGAGAGGCTTATGTTTTAGTCGTCCTAACAGCAACCCTATCATTGCTTATTTCCATGATCCTTATTTATGGATAAACTTTTAATATTAGGTAGACTATTGCATGAAAAGTAAAGAAGAGTATTGCTTTATCCCAAGGGGTCTTGTGTTGCAGCTTCCATTCTGAGGACTAGGTCTCCACTTAAACATCTACTAGAGCTTAATTTTGAGTAATGGAAAGCTTTACTTTCCCCCTCATCCTGCCATGGTCACCCTGTTCAACAGCTAGTATGTTTTAAATATTCATATATTTATTGGCTTCTGAAAAAAAAAAAGAAATTGCACTGGTATGCAGACAGACATCATCTCTGCCCACATTTATGTGTCAGGTCCAAGAGTATAGTCTGGGTTCCCATGAGTAGTTTTGGAAAAAACTACTAGCCTGATTCATTAGGCTAGAATTAGCCTAAAATAATTTTCAGTTAACCTTATATTTTTATTAACATTTTAATGGACTTAAGGGATCATTATCAGAATAATGCCATCTATTATGTGGTTTGGTTAGACTTATTGCCAAACAAATCTTATTGCCTCTTTTGGTAGAGATGTTAGTTTGGTGTATTAGGAGATTGCTTTACATACGATATAATAACTTTTGACACCCTCCCAAGATAACCTTAGAGTGGCATGTGTGATGCTCAAAGGTGATTTTCACAGATCCTTAAGTAAATTTACCAACATAGTGTTAATTAAGAGTTGCTGACAACTTGGATAGAAATCTTTGGTGGAGTATCAAAAGGCGCTCTCTCTCTCTCTCTCTCTCTGTCATGCACACGTATGTATACACACATTATGAGAGGCTTCAATAAAGACATAAAAATAGAAATTCTTTAAAATTTGAAGATAACACAAAGCTGGAAAAAGATACAATCACAAATGACAAAAAATTTAAAATGATCTTAACAAGCTACAAGACTAGGCCTAAATTAACTGGGATAAATGCAAAGTATAGAAAAATCAATTCAAGGGGAATATTAATGTATTTAAAAGATAATGTAAATGCATAGAAGAAAGAACAAATGGGTGAAAGTTTATACAGAGTCAGATTTTGGCACACCAAAAGAAAGAATTTAATAAACAAAACAAGAAACCAGTAATTGAAGCCTCCCTGTCATTGGGTAAAGGGACTTGAGGTAGGTGACACTACCTTGTCACCTTAAATATTCATACAAAGGGTGGATGACTCTTGATGATGAAGTTGTTTGTGGGAAGACTGGATAAGATGGTATATAACCCTAACATCTATCAATAGGTTTTGGACCTGCTGATAGTGTGATTAGGTGCTGTTTTTTGATCTGTTGGGACATGAAACTACTTAAATTCTAGTTTGGTATTTGAAGAAAAAGTACTATATCCTTAGGCTTTGTACAAATACAGCAACTATTCATTAGCTATTTATCTTAATCTTAATAATATTCATTGTAGATAATCTAAGGCCTCCTGTTTTCTTATCCAACTGTTTTCAGCTAAAGCCTTGTAGTCCTTATCCCTGCCCCGTCACATTTTTGTACTGAATTATCAGCACATTGATTCAGCTTTCTGTTTTGTGGTCATATCACATTCAGCATTTTGTTTGAAGTTATTAAATTTTGAATTGTTAACAAAACCTACTTTAAAATTTTTCTTCCTTTTTCTCTGATTTATAGAATATCTTTATTTACAAAAGCTAATAAAATAGTGTCCCTTGTGCTAATGCAGTGTGTAAGTATAAATTTTAACATCAGTAAATTAGTTGTCCTTCAATTATTTTAGCTTAAAAAAAAACTTTTAAAGCCGTTAAATCTCGTTTCTATGCCAATGCCTTAATGCCAAGAGTTTAGCAGTATTATTGAGAGATTTTTTCCTAAGCCATTTATTGTCAGCTCTCTGGTTTATGTTAGGAAACTTGTGAAGTGACGCTCTATACTTTTTTTGTGGGAAAAGGATCCCCAAAACAGTGTTACAACATAGAAGTCTGGTGTAGTGCAACAAATTGAGCCCTGAATTTAGAGTCTGAGCCCAGAGTTCAATTACGGGGTTAACCACTTATTAGCTGTGTTTCCTTAGACGAGTTATTTAACCTATTTGAGATTTAGTTTCCTTATTTATAAAATAAGGATGCTAATGTTTGTGCTTCTTATCTCAGAGTTATATGAAATGAGATGATTCTTATTAAACATTTTATAAACTGCAAAACAGTATATAAATGTAAGCTAACAGTAAGTAAGTGTTATACCAATAAATGTGATATTAGGAACAGTAGGTGAGTGGTTCCTTAAATCATACAGCTTTTCTTAGATGTAAAACATAAGAAACAATTTAGTTTCTTCAAATCACTTCTTTAGGTACTTAACACAAAACAAATACAGTACAACTGTCCTGTCCCCCCACCCTTTTCAAAGCTATTTACTTTATCTATGTTAATTTGCAGGATTTTCATAAATTCTCTCCTATATAGGAATTGTCACAATATATAAATATGATACCATCTTGAACAATTTGTCTTTCCATAATTGTTTGAAGCTGTCTTGACAGAGGGACTGGTGAGGTCCTTTTGTGATGGCATCACATCCAAATATTGTATTTTATAAAAATTACCTGAAAGCAGGGTCATGAAATGTCTCTGCAGACAATATGGATTTTTTAAAATACGTTTTGTGTTGTGTCTCATTCTAATTAATCAAGTTACAAGAGGTTGTGTATTACTTGTCAATATTGGCATTTAAGGCTATTCATTATGAAACTGTCACTCAAAAAGACCCTTATTTCCTAAATATATATGAAGTTACATTTTAAAAGACATATAAAATTCTAATGTTTGATATTGTGATATGCACTTCCAGTATGTTATATTTTAGAATATTCAGAATTATCTGTCAACATATATAGAGAGTTCATCTGTAATTTTCTTTTAGTTTGGAGAATAGTCAAAATATGAAGTTTAAAGGGTTAGAAAATTTGTACTTCTTACCCTCTTCAAAATTACTCAATATTCCTAAAATGGTATGATACATATCTATTGCTTTATATGTGGAATTGTGTAATATGTTTCATTTAGAATTGATGTTGCTTGTATTAACTTCTTTTATTTAACGATTTTATTTGCTAGTTATGGAGACCAAAGGATACCACAGTTTTCCAGAAGGCCTAGATATGGAACGACGTTGGGGTCCAGTTTCTCAGTCTGCAGAACATTCTTCTTTGGGGTCTGGAGAGAGGACTGATCAGAATAACTATATGGAGATTATAAATGTAAGCTGTGTTTCCGGTGCTATTCCAAACAACAGTACTCAAGGAAACAGCAAAGAAAAACATGAACTAATCCCTTGCCTTCAGCAAGACAGTAATCAGTCTGGGATTTTAACATCTGATATTAAAACAGAGTTGGAATCTAAGGAACTGTCAGCAACTGTAGCTGAATCTATGGGTTTATACATGGACTCAATAAGAGATGCTGATTATGCCTATGATCAGCAGAATCAGCAAGGAAGAAGCATAAGTCCAGCAAAAATTTATCAAAATGTTGAACAGCTGGTAAAATTTTATAAAGAAAATGGCCATCACCCTTCTACTTTAAACAGTGTGAACAGGTCCTTGAGATCATTTATATCTGACTCTGGAAATTCTGTGAATGGTAGTATCATGCGCTCTATTGTTAAAAGCCCCATAATGTGTCATGAGAAAGGTCCTTCTGTTTGTAGTCCTCTGAACATGACTTCTTCAGTTTGCAGTCCTGCTGGAATCAACTCAGTGTCCTCAACTACAGCCAACTTTGGCAGTTTCACAGTGCACAGTCCGATTACCCAGGGAACTCCTTTGCCATGTTCCCCAAATGTTGAAAATCGAAGCTCTGTGTCGCACAGCCCTGCACATGCTAGCAATGTAGGTTCTCCTCTGTCTAGTCCAATAAGTAGCATGAAATCCCCTATTTCAAGCCCTCCTAGCCACTGTAGTGTAAAATCTCCTGTCTCTAGTCCTAATAATGTCACTATGCGCTCCTCTGTGTCCAGTCCTGCAAATATCAACAACTCAAGGTGCTCCATTTCCAGCCCTTCCAATACAAATAACAGGTCTACTCTTTCTAGTCCAGCTGCTAGCACTGTGGGATCTTCTATCTGCAGCCCAGGAAACAATGCCTTCAGCTTTGCTGCTTCTGCCACATCGGTTGGATCCAGTACAACCCAGGATGTTGTTCCTAGTCCAGAAACGAATGAGAGAGGTGCTCAAGAAGTGACATTTCCTAAAACAGAGGAAATAGAAAATTCCATCTCGAATAGTGGCGTGGCTAGTCAGCTTAACATCATACAGTATATAAAATCTGAACCAGATGGAGCTTTTAGTAGCTCATGTCTTGGAGCAAATAGCAAAGTCAGTTCTGATTCCCAATTCTCAGTACCAGTAAAACAAGAGTCAGCCAAGCATTCATGCTCAGGTACTTCTTTTAAAGGGAATCAAACAGTAAATCCATTTCCATTTATGGATGGTTCATATTTTTCCTTCATGGATGATAAAGACTATTATTCTCTATCTGGAATTTTAGGACCACCTGTTTCATCATTTGATGGCAGTTGTGAAGGTAGTGGATTTCCAAATCCAGGTCTGCCTATGGGAATTAAACAAGAGCTTGATGATGGTAGCTATTACCAAGAGAACAGCCTGCCTCCATCTGCCATCGTTGGTGTAAATTCAGGTGGACAGTCTTTTCACTACAGGATTGGAGCTCAAGGCACGATATCATTATCAAGACCTCTTGGAAGAGACCAGTCTTTTTCACATTTGAGCTCATTTCCTCCAGTCAATACATTAGTTGAGTCTTGGAAATCACACAGTGACTTGTCATCCAGAAGAAATGATGGGTATCCAGTTCTAGAATACATTCCAGAAAATGTGTCAAGGTGAGTTATTGTCTATCTTTTTAAAAAATTACATCTTGATTTCAAAATTTGCTTTTAAAATCTTCAAGTTTACCTTTGCATTGCCTTTTCAGCTGTTAAATTTATATATATGTTCTGGCTTGTGGTTTTAATTTTGTCTCAAAGATTGTCATTTGATGTGCCTGCTATTCTTTTTAGTGTGTTGTTACTTATTTTTGAGTAAGAGGAACAAAGAAAATCCCTAAGCAGCTCTTTGAAAATTACTTCAAAAATTTTGAACAAAGAGTAGTGCTTTCATTTTTCAGTAGTTCCTGTTTTCAGTTTTGTAATTTTGTTCAGTAAGTGTTGTTTATTTTATATTTATCAACTTACTACATTTACTTTTAATTGTCCAGTACCAGGGTTTCTTCCTTGTCAATTTGCTGGTTTCTTTAAGTCAATTAGAGTAGTGTTTATGAATATATATGTATGTATGTGTATGCATATATCTATACATACATACATATACACACAGGTATATATATACATATATATATATATATATATATATACACACCTGTGTATATATATATAACTTTTAATTAAAAATTAGGGATTTTCTCTTTGAAAAGCAAAATTGAACCAGAACGTCTGTTACCCACAAGTTTGTTGGAGGGAGGGGCATTATGGTTTTCATATTAAAAAACTAATCACTTCCGTAATTGTTAAGGGACTTTTAAAGACTTAGCACAGCTGAAGTTACCAAATGGATAACTTGTTTTACTTATATTGGAAATGAAATATGTCAGTGCAGTTTTGAATTGGTGTATTTATAACTTCTCAGTTTCATAAGACATGCCTTATTTACAGTAAGAATATCTCTTGGCTTTTCCCTGCTCCAGATAGCAGTGTGTGTATATTTAGAAAAACAAGGAAGAGGTTTAAAATATGTCTATAAAGGGTGGTTCTCAATTCTTCATGGGATAGTTGCGTTGGACTTTGCTTCAGTACTGTATTTTTATTATGTGGTCATGATAAGTGGCCTCTTTACTGAATATATAATATGTATCTTTGTTGTCATATCGTTCTTTCATGTATTTAATGAAAAGGTGGATTTTTTTTCCTAATTTGCTTATACAAATATATTTTGTTTTTCCATGGTGGGAAAATACATTACTTCAATAAGTCAGTTTTGGAATTGATCAATATTCCCATTCAGTTTCTTCCACATATATCCAAATAGAAACTACTAAATGTTAGGAAATGTGTCCTGCCCATCCTCACATTATTTTCTGGGCTATAATGTGTTCTTGTTTGTTTTTTGAATGGTAGCTAGCATATTTTTATAGTGTAATATGTATATCATAACATATTATAGTGTGAATTGCCTATATTCCCTAAATGCCAATTTCAGGCAGAAGTTGTGAGATGAATACAATTGTATGTGTTTAGGATTAAGAACTTTCATCAGTGTAAACTCATCTTAAAACTTGGGTAATATTTTCAGTACGTGTATGTATGTATTATATATATATATATGTAATATATACACATATGTGTGTGTATATATAACATATATATGAAATTTTAAAATTGTCATTTTCTAGTATTACTAGATCATTACATTGCATGGAATTGAGAAGGAATAACTTAAAAATGAAATGCTTCAAAGTGTTTAGTGACATATTTTTATTTATGTTTACAGAAAATATTCAATGATGGGTCATTGTCAATCAGAGCTGGTCTGTTTTTTTTTTTTGTTGTTGTTTGTTTGTTTTTTAACCTTCATAATGGTTAGTGTGACATTATGGATTCAACAGTACTTTTTCTGTTTAAAGTATCTTTGATATTGGAATTCAGTGGAACTCTATTACTATAAACTTACTTTTAAAAAGCTAATCAATAGTAAATTTCTCTTGTGGGTTGTTTTTTTTTATTCTGCTCCATATATTTTAAATAATGGTAGCTCTCAGACTTAGCTCCTGGAAATTCTGGTCCAATATGCAATATGAGTTACGGGATTGGTTATATAAATCATCCTGTATCATCAGCCTTCATTCAGGTGTATTGTGTGTATAAATATCTCATGAATCTCTGCCTCATACTTTCTTTTGTATATCCAGGCACCTCTTATAGTTGTTCTTTTGATCTTGTTTGTTGGCAGTTATTGGCAGGCAGGTGGTACAGCAAATAGAGCTCAGAACTTGGAATAAGGGAGACCTGAGTTCAAATTTACCTTCATACACTTACTAGCTATGTGACCTTGGGCAAGTCACCTCACCTTTGCTTTAGTTTCCTCATTTGTAAAATGTCGATAATAATAATGTTTACTTTCTAGGGTTGTTAGGATAAAATGAGGTAACATTTGTAAAACATTTTTTCAAACCTTTAATTGCTATACAAATGCTAGCTGTGGCTATTGGTGTAAGTATATCATCAGATCATAGATATGGAGGTGGTAGGAATCTCAGAGGTCATCCAATCCAACCTCCTAATTTTACACATGAGAAAACTGAAGCCCAGGAAAGCTGTGACTTCCCCAAGGTCACCAGGTGGTGGAAACCGTTGTATGTTAGCATAGTAATATACCAGAGCATGCTTTATTATTTTTTTTCAAAGCTGTAGAGTTACTATTATTGGCAACCTCATAAAGGTTAATTATTCTTCCTGATTGTACTGACCATTGTTGAAACCTGCCAAGTTTTTGTCTTTCAATGAACATATTCCCTGAAACATTTGGGATGTTTTGATTCTTAAGTATTGTAGCCTGAAACACAGGGATTTAATATTTGATCATCTTTCTGATCAAGTAACTACTACTACTTTGTGATGTTTCAATTAAGAGCTAGTCTTTCTTTTTCTCCTTTTATGGCGAGGATAGACTTCAGTATCTTTAAAGGTTTTGTGAGTTAAATAATAATTGCAGTTTATGGAGAGTCACAGTTTCTTTTCAACCCTAAATTGTATTCCAAAATATAAGTTTTTTGGCTGTAATAAAAATACATTATGTTGTAGTATCATTACATAATATGGAGGAGAGGAAGTTCAAGATATTTTGCTCTTGTAGGTAATGTGCATGTGTGTAGTGTGGTGTGCCCTTATTTTAATTTCAGTGTATTCTAATAAAGTGGTCAATTTTTAGTAGGGAATTGCATTGAACAGCCTGTCTAAACTCCAGCTTATCAAGGAAGTCATGTTAAAACTAAGTTTAAAGCACTTGGATTGTTGTTAAATTTTGTGTCAGCATGGTACAGTATAAAAAACTCTCTGCTTTTCCAGTAACTAGCTATGTGACTCTAGACAAATCACTTCTTCAAGGTGTTAAATTCTAAAATTTGGTTATTGTATTGCTGAGATACTCGTCTGTATGAAGAATCAAAATGTGATACCTCTAAAATTTTAATATTTACTCATCTGAATTAAAATATATTATTAGTTTCATGATTAGCTATGAGTTGTTTATGTAGGAAAACATCCCTGCTTAGCTATGAAAGTGAGGAAATGGACCCTTTTTTTTGGAAAAGCACCGAAGTTTTTCATCAGATATGCCTTTTTATAGAAACTTTGTGACACACATGATGAATATATTTTCCTTGTTCTTTTTCTTTACAGTATTCCTTATGGAAACAAAGTATTACTGTTTTCATAACATTAGATGTTTGTGGCAGCGGTAATTTTGATAGTATCACAATATAGTACTCACATTGATTCGTACTGCAAATTCAAGAGTTCACTGTTCCAAAGGGCGTATTCAAGTAAGTTTGCAAGACTATTACATTATGGTGGACTTAATCTTAGTTATTAACTTAGTACTATTTCTTCATGTGTTCTTTGTTTCTTTACCTTTTTTTTTAAACTTCTTTAGCAAGTCAAGGGCTCTCATTCAGAGAGTTATAAGGAGAATAATAGCTTTTCAAGGGCTCTCTGTCTTTACTGCAGGCTTTTTTTTTTCTAAATTTAATGAAATTTGGTAAGCATATGTTTGTGTTTGTTGCAGGGGGAAGGAGGATTAAGTTCTGGACTGATGGATTTATTGGCATAGGAAATTTCTAGGTTAGGAAACTCCCTTTCCAAGGAAAGTTGATATGTTCTCTGCAGCTTAGAGTCTTAAGAGAGTTGCTTAGAGATCTGAGAGTCTAAGTGAATTGCTCACCATCACACATCCAGTATGTCAGAGGAAGGACTTGAACCTAGGTCTTCCTGATTTTGAGGCAGGCTCTCTCCACTGTGCCAGCAGGAAGATGTATTGAAGAATTGATGGTTGATTGTTTTGGCTGGTGGTCTGAGTTCACTATCTGAAATCGTTTCATCACAATGTAAAGATGACTGTGGTTTGGAGGGGTTTGACTTTAGTAAATGAGGTGTCTATTCTCTCTCTAAAGCCTCTATGAGGTGAAGTCCTCTGAAGAAAACTGAGACTAGCTTCTATTTGCTAATCTCCTTTTCACCTTACACCACCATTCTTTGCTCAGGAGAATTCAATTGTCTATTTTTTTAATCTCTGCTCTTAGTGAGTTTAACAATATAATTTAGTAGCAGTATCTTTGGTTTGTTCATGTCCCCAGTTAGATATCCTGGTGAAATTGAATGAGACTCTCTTACAGTAGTAGTGGTAGTGGTAGTAGTAGTAATTAATAGTTATATAGTGCCTACTATGTGCCAAGTGCTGTGACTAAGTACTTTACAAATATTATCTCATTTTATCCTCGCAAAAACCCTGGGAGGTAGGTGCTATTATTATCCTCATCTTACAGTAGAGGAAACTGAGGCAAACAGTTGTTAAATGACTTGCCCAGGGTCACACATTTAGAAGCATCTGAGGATGGATTTGAACATCTCTTCCTGATTCCAAGCCCAGTGCTCTATCCACTGCTTCAACTAGCTGATACTTCTCCTTCTTCTCCTTGCTCTTTCCCCTCTCTCTTTTCTCTTATTAGCCCCCCTTTCCTCTTTCCTCGTTCATGTTAAATGTGGACAGATATAGTCTCTTCTTTCTTGGTCTGGGTTAGCTTCTGCCTGGTTTAATATCCCACCTCCCTCAA